ACCTGCACATCCGCAAATGTGGTCTATTGTATCTGCTGTTCCCAATGTGGCCTCCTCTACATCGGGGAGACCAAGCAGGGGCTCGGAGACCACTTTGTGGAGTTCCTACGCTCGGTTTGCCACAAACGACAACACCTCCCAGTCACAAACCACTTCAACTCCCCCTCCCACTCCCTGGACGACATGTCCATCCTGGGCCTCCTCCAGTGTCACAACGATGCCACCCTAAAACTGGAGGAACAGCACCTCATATTCCACCTTGGAACCCTACAACCCAATGGTCTCAATGTGGACTTTACGAGCTTCAACATCTCCCCTCCCCCCTGACCTCATCCCAAGACCAGCCGCACCGCACGCGCCCCCCATCCCCACCTCCTTGACCTGTCCATCTTCCCTCCCACCTATCCGACCTTCCTTCTCACTGACCAACCCCCATCCCAACTTCCTACCTACACTCACCTCTACTAGCTTCTTCCCCGCCTCCTTGACCTGTCCGTCTTCTCTCCCACCTATCCGCCCCTCCCTCCTCATTGACCAACCCCCATCCCAACTTCCTGCCTACACTCATCTTTACTAGTTTCATCCCTGCCTCCTTGACTTGTCACTTAGAGTCACAGAGTCATACAGCACAGAAACAGACCCTTCGGTCCAACCAGTCCATGCTGACCATAATCCCAAACTAAACTAGCCCCACCTGCCTGTGCTTGGTCCACATCCCTCCAAACATGAACTTATCCGAATGTCTTTTAAACACTGTAACTGCAGCCGCATCCAAAAAATTGCCCCTCATGTCTTTTTTAAATCTTTCCCCTCTCACCTTAAACATATGCCCCCTAGTCTTGAAATCCCCCACTCTAGGGAAAAGACATCTGTCATTCACCTTATCTATGACCCTCATAATTTTATAAAACTCCATAAAGGTCACCCCTCAGCCTCCTACGCTCCAGCCTACCCAGCCTCTCCTTATAACTCAAACTCTTCATTCCCGGTAACATCCTGGTAAATCTCTTCTGAACCCTCTCCAGTTTAATAATATCCTTCCTATAACAGTGCAACCAGAACTGGACACAGTATTCCAGAAGAAGCCTCACCAACGTCCTGTACTCGATGCTCATCTGATAGAAACTCCCTTCCTCGTTCACTGTCATGTCAGCCTAAATGTTTGTACTGAGTTGCTGGCCATCTTCTCTCCACCAATCTGCTCCACTATCCACCTTCTGTCACCACCCCTCCTTCTATTTATTTCAGAGCCCCCTTCCCCTCCCCCATTTCTGAAGAAGGGTCCAGACCTGAAACATCAGCTTTCCTGCTCTTCTGATGCTGCCTGGCCTGCTGTGTTCCTCCAGCTCCACACCTTGTTATCTCAAGTAATTTAGTGTATTTCTGAAGGCTTCAATATCAAATTTTTTTGGTTAAATGTTTCCTGCTTCTGCAAAAAAGTCTAACAACAGGTTAGCCATGCAACGAAAGACTATTTTGGTCTAAACAGGTACAATTTGCAGTACAAGTGCATGTGGCGTCACAATAACATGTGGAAATGTCCATATTCTGTACAGATATGGGCAGATAATTTTGAGTCTTCAATTACTTTAAACATGTTAACAGCCATGCCAACCACATCTCTTGCTGTGTCACATATACTTATCATCCTCCTGTCTATTTCTGTCACAGAAGATCTGAAACAGCTATCCAGATGAAATTGCTGATTGCAAATATTTTATCTTTTTTATTGTTTCAAATAATTTTTCATAAGTTGCCAAGAATGAAGTCACTGAGAAACAAAAATCAAATAATCTGAGTCTGACAAAGTGGGGAAGTAAATTATTATCCACAATAAACTAATCCAGTATTTTATTTGGCTGAACTTATGCTGTAGAAAACTTTTATATCTGCTGTTTGAAATATTAATAGGCTAAATTACGCATTTTCTTAAATAACAAATCAAAATTCACAATGCCTTTAGGTTCACTATTAATCACGGCAGAATTTCAGACACAGATAACTGCAGTGTTCAATAAAATCATCTTTCAATTGCACATTTTAGTCCCTTTATAACAGCAGGAAAATGAACACTTCACAGCCAATGTCATCCCCACGTCCCCAAAATTTATGATAGGTACCAACATACTCCATGTCAATTCCCTGGCCTCAACTAAATGATCCAAGGGACGACAGTTACTAATTTGTGTGTTATTATGCATCATCACTAATGTTCCCCAACCAACTCAACTATGAACTTACTCTCATCATTTCTAAATAAAAAAACAAAAGAACTGTGGATATTGTAAATCAGGAACAAAAACAGAAGTTGCTGGAAAAGCTCAGCAGGTCTGGCAGCATCTGTGAAGAAAAAAAATCAGAGTTAACATTTCTCAGAACAGTTCTGAGGAAGGATCACCGGACCCGTAACGTTAACGCTGACTTTTTCTTCACAGATGCTGCCAAACCTACTGAGCTTTTCCAGCAACTTCTGTTTTTATTCCTCATCATTTCTATCTTTGTTGCCAGCAAAATCACTACTGTCTTCCATCCCAGCTGCTTACTCCATTAAGGCTCCTGTCTTCATTGTCTCAAGTCCCCAATGGATATGGAATTTGATGCACCAGACACACAACCTACTTAACCATCTATCACCAGATCAGGTACTATGATGGGGGGTGATTTAACACTGACAGCCAGCCAGGAGGCAGACAGGGAGTTTAGTACTGAAAAGTCCGAAACCTGGCCACAGTTCACAACCAACCCACCCACTTCCAGTTTAAATAGAATAGACTGAAGGCAAACATGGTTGGGAAATAGTCTGTTGTTGAGAAATTGGTCAATAATTTATGTATGATAATGATGCTTTATGCCTCAGATTTTAACGCACTTATCCCTTTCAATTTTTGACAGCTAGATTGCGTAAGGTTCTAAAACAACTGGAGAGAGGAGATTACAACACAATCTAGTGGGTAAAGTGCTTATTCAAATAGAACGAGAAAGCTTTCCCCATCTCACTGCCAGTTTCCTAGGCTATTGTGATGCAATCATTCCTCACCCCTTCAGAAATTCATTTGTCTCTGCAGATTCTCACTCTCCTTTTGCCCATCAAGCCAAACCTGTCCACAGGTTACCCCCACTTTAATGGTGAACCCAGTTTCTTCCCCATCTCTCAAAATGCTTTGTCCAATTTTATCCCACCCATGAAACCTATCTCATCTCCCAATGAGCTGCTGACCACCCAATTTTCCTTCCGTGCCCTGGAACTTCAACTTACAATGTTATTCTCATACTTAGATCTTTTCGCGATCTGATTCGTTCTAATATCTTGCACTCCTACAGCCCAACTCCTCCCTCCATTCCTCTACCAATGGCCTAGTGCATCCCTATCAGTTCAGCCACCACTGCTGTTTGTAGGAGCAACATCCATATCGTGTGGAAATCCTTTCCAGAAGCCCTCTGCATTTTAATACATGTCTCACTGATTAAGTTTTTCTTATCCCAACCTAATATCTCCTTTGAATCTGTGTTCATTGTTTGATTAGATCCTCACGCGGGGCATTTAGATGCTTTTCAATATTAGAAGATACCACATAAAAGGAAGTTCATGTTCAAATGTTTAAACATCCATCCTTTGCAGTGCAAAACATTTCAATAAATTAGGAGATATTAACTTTATGCTCCTGCAGGCTCAAGGAGTGAGGAGCAGCATGGTGGCTCAGCGGTTAGCACTGCTACCTTCCAGCGCCAGGGTCATGGGTTTGATTCCAGCCTGGGGTTAGATGTGCAGGTTAGGTGGATTAGCCATGGGAAATGCAGGGTTACAGGGAAAGGGTAGGGGGGTAGGTCTGAGTAGGATGCTCTTCAGAGGATCGGTGTGGACTCAATGGGCCGAACGGCCTGCTTCCACCTTGTAGGGATTCTATGATTCTAAGTCTTGGTTGAAAACATATTTAAAATTGTAATTACCACCAAGATACTGCAAAACCTTAAGTTACAGATGTTTATTATGTGTGTTTTTATGTAAGAAATTGAAGAGTTGCTGAAATATTAAGAGGCATTGTTTGGACAGAAAGCAGTGCACTTTTTTCTTGGCATCATGACTGGTTTTACTTAATATTACAACTGAAAACTAGTTTTAAAATCTGCCTATTTCTTCGCCAGTGTTCCTCCACAATCTCCTTAAGTATTGGCTCCATACAGGCATAAGGACAGCCCATACTCTCCAAGACCTCAACTAGCTGGTCCACTTTTAACTGGTACAATTGAGTATCAGTTGGCAATCTGATCAAAGAGAAGTGGAAGACAAGAAAGAGGAAAAAAATACAGACTGTGTTCTATTCTGTCTACACCTGATATAGCCACACATACAGATCAGGAGCATTCTTTTTAGTTTAGAAAAATAGGGAGATGATCTCAATGAAGCATAGTACATTCTTACAAGGGCTTGGCAGGTTAGGTTCAAGAAGGATGCTTCTCCTGGCTAAAAGAATCTAGGACCAGGGTAGACAGGCCATTTAGAATTGAGATGTGGAGAAATGCATTTGGAAACTTCGGAACTCTCTGTCCGAGAAGGTCATGAAGGCTCAATCGCTGAGTATTTTATAACCGAGATCAACAGATATCTATATATTAAAAAATATGGGGAGCATTGCAGAAAAATGGCATTGAAGTAGTGGATCAGCCAAAATCTCAATAATTGGCAGAGCAAGCTTGATGTGCTGAATGGCCTACTCCTGCTGCTATTTCTTACATTCTTACCAAAAGGGTCTGAAGGCAACAGTAGTGTCTCTGCTATCAACCCAATAACCAAGCACGGCTAACAAATGAAACTTAGAAGCTGCATGCTCTGTACATTTAGGTACTCAAAAGTCAATCGGGAAAGCGACACTTGTTTTAAAAATACAAACCAGAAACAATAAAAACGTATGAGCTGCATGTGAAGCAAAACTGATCAGCAGTGAAATAAAAACCTAACATAAAATATTTTCATATCTTGTAATAAGCTTGTGAACACATACCTGCAGTTCTTCTGTCTTTACACAAGGAGCAAGGGGACTCACAGTTCTCTGGTTAGAAAGCACTTCTGGATCTGTAACTGCATTAAGAACAAGTTACTTTTAATGAAAGAAAAAAATGAGGAAAACTTCTAACTTTTAAAAATAAAATATGTTATGGGCAGATATCAGCTCTGACAGTCTGTTAGAAACTACGTAGAATATAACGCCAATGCACACCATGTTGAAATCCCTAAACTCCGGGAGAATGGTCTTATAGTTACGTTATCAGGAGGAAGATTTGGACAGAAGGACGGGAAACAAAACAAAATTTAAAGAGCAAATCGAGTCAACTGGGCTTGCATATGCATTTGCAGGGGATTAATGGAGAGTATGACAGGCCAGGTTACATAATCACTCCTTCCATTCATAAGTTATACAAAAGAAAGAACGATTTTATTCTTACTGCACCTTTCATGGTGTCAGGATGTCTCAAAACACTTCATGGTAAATTAAGCACATTGCATGGCACACAATTCAGCAGCAAGAACAAAAATGGCACTTAGGTCAATATAATTTAATTCACTCTATTGATACATACTTTGAACAGTATTAGACTTCTAAACAATAACACTTTACCCCAGTGTTCAACTTTTTAAGTCTGTCTTGAGACGCAACACAAAATTGAGAAGATTCCCCAGAGGATACATTTTCAAGAGGGTTTTAATTAACATTTGTTGACTACACCCTTTGTAAAAGCCATGAAAGTTCTTGAAAAATGACAAATATTACTAATCAATTTTCTTGGATTTCTACCGTTTCCTCTGAAATTGAGGATCAAGTAAGAAAATCCCTGCAGAAATGTACTCTATGATCCATACACATTCTGTTTGTCTACTGAAAAACTTTGCAAAGATTTGATGATACTGAAGTCTTAGGGACAATGTGTTAAAATAAGGTGTGAAGAAGAGAAAGTCTAAAAATACAACAAAAAGAATGAATTCAATGTATTTCTGCTTCTAAACACATATTGTCAATCTCTTATCTACAGTAATACAAACATTTCACCTGAATTTTTGGATTTAATTCGACTATGAACTGGACTTGTATTATTGACAGACATAGGCTTGATAGTTTTTTTCTTTGCAATCCTCCCCCTTTCTTGCAGCATGGCAATTTCTTCCTCACTAGTTCTTTTATCTTCAGCTGCTTTCTCTGCACGTTTCTGCTGCAGTTCCTTTAAAAAAACATAGGTATTAGGAATTAAAATTTAATGTTATTTTAACAGTCTTAATGAATTGATCCTGTAGAATACTGTCTTTAATTTAAATTAAAATATTATACTCAATACTGGGAATGGACCTGTTCCACAGTACAGTTAGATGAAGGTTGTTTCCAATTTTCCGAGGCACAACTTTGTTGTGAGAATTACCTTACTCTACAATGATAAAAGATATTTTTCAAGTAATACCTCACTGCAGCTCTTCATAACTGTACCACCAAGGCATCAAAGACTGGTAATGGGTAACCACATAGATCAAGAATTGTGTGTGTTCTCTCTCAATAATAAAAAGTGTGTGAACATGGTCCCTTTTGTATCCTCACGATGTCCTGACGCTAATGAAATACAGTTTAAAATAAAGCCACTTGTTACGTAGGTCTCACAGATAGCAAATAAACTAAACTGGTTGTCATTTCGGATTCAAGCTGATCAGTGAGACAGAAACCCCTTCTCCCTGGCTAGAGTTTATTAGGTATTCAGACTTGTAGCTCCTTCTGCATGACAGCCTTGCCTCAAACACTATTCTTCCATTACATCTATCCAACCAATTAATTAATCAGTTAAACACCATAATTTGCTAGATTATCAGATTTTGCTCTTCTCCTTAAATAAAAACCTGAGAAATAAAAACAATCTTTGAGCAGAAGGAAAGAAAAGTACATTTTTTTCATATTCTATATATCTTACTCTAAAGTACAAATATGATTAGTAACAAAATTAAATAGTTTTTCATATTTCATATAACAGAACTAATCTCCGTTGTCCCCCTTTTCTTTGAACATGAAAACACATTTAATCACAAAGTTTTTTCATGGATCTGTTTTAAAGCTTCTTAAAAATGTATTTCCCCCTTGTCCCATACCTTCAAAGTCCATTGCTACAACTTTGTTAAAGTCTCTTACTACTGGGAGATTCATGATGAGCCACAATGGTGCCCTCCTTAAGATTTTATTTGTACCACATTTGCCACTGATTACTTATTTTAATCAATTCACTCCACAACTGTGGATATGCATCCACTGTTCAACACAGCGTAATTGAAATGAGTTTGTGACTAAAACATTTGTTACTGGCTGAGGCTCCTTGTAGCTAGTACAAACCCTTCTACTTGATCATTAGCTTATTCCAAACCTTACATGATATGGGTAATTTTAAAAAACTTTGTCATTCTGATTAGGACGATTCATTACAAAAATTGTTTTTCTGAGTCGCAATCAAAGCATTTGTCAGACCTGCCATGGATATTCTTGTGGTTCATTATTCTGCTACAGTTCCCAATTCCTGTCAGCTGTCATAGTTGCCAGAGATATCGTATTAATCACTTATTTTAGTTACAATTCTTCCATGTGGACACTTCTGCAATCTTTTATTCTGTGTATGTCCTAAATGTCTCATTAGTACCATGATGTCTACTGGGAATAATTGTTTTCCCAAGTATTTTGTTTTAATGCTTCTAACCTCTGTTCCAGACATGTTTCTTTTTGAAAATCTAACTGTAGTTAATATTAGGAATCTATCCATGTTCGATACTTTAGCAATAGTCCAATAATTTAAAGGTAAGCACTGAGTTACGAACCTCCAAATTCTATTATACATTCTTCTATAGAATTTCCATCCTGCTTTTGAATTTTGTCAAAGTTTGACCATACCTGATAAACATTTAATAAGTCATCTTTCTTAAAATCTCTGAAAGGTTTAGCTTCACAAAACATTGGTGTGAAGACAGATCCCTGCTGTGCTTTCAACAGTGGCTTGGAATCAATAATGTCCATCTGAAAGCCAGCAATTCTAACAATGCAATACCTTCATGGGGAAATCTAGAATGAAGGGGCACAGTTTCAGAATAAGGGGTCTCACATTTAAGATGGAGATGAGAAAGAATTTGATCTCTCAGGATCTTTAAACTTTGGAATTATTTATCCCAGAAAGACCAGGAAGTTGGGTCATTGAATATAAATTGTTGCATTATGCTAAGATATCGAACATGGATAGACTCCTAGTAATAACTGGAGTGAGATTTTTAGAAAAAACGTGCTTTGAAAGCAGGAGCAGGCTCAAGGGGCTGAATAGCCTACTCTCATTCATTGTTCAGGTATTTGTATGGAACAGATGTCAGATGCTCAGAAAGAACGAATCCTGCGACGACATGCATTCTTAGCCATCACTGTTCAAATGGGATGTACAGCAGCAACACAAAGAATGGAGGATTCAATGGTGGTGCCAACGTGAGACTGTTCCAGAAACCTGAAAAGGAGAATTATAGCTAAAAGGAGTAAGGATAGACATCCCTCTGGCAATTACAGTTGTGTGATTTGGGGAACTTTAGCAGAAGAATCAACCCCAAGAATGCTCAGAATAGCAGGTGGGTTAGACAAACTTTTGATCTACGAACGAGTCCAGGGGTTACAGAGGGAGTATACAAAAATATGGAGTTAAGGCCACTCCCAAATCTTATTAAATGGCACAGCAGACTCAGACCCAAAGTCCTGGAAGGGCTACTCTTGATGTTATTTCTTGTTGTTGCTCAGTATACTGTCTGTTTGGACAAAGCTCTCTCAGCTTCTACTGTGGCTGTATCTCCATCCTTAATATGAGCGCCAATGTTGAACACGCTGAAAAATTTAAACCATAAAATAGAGGAGCAGAATTAGGCCATTTGTCTGCTCCACCACCTGATCATGGCTGATATGTTTCCCATTCTCCTACCTTCTCCCTGTAACCCTTGGTTCCCTTACTTATCAAAAATTTTGATTTTATTATTGTTCAGAACATGAACTCAATGCTGGTTAAAAATATTAGAGGCAGGTACTAATTTTGCAGCAAACTGTGTCCTCATTATAGCTTTGTCACAGTAACTGTCATGCAACTCAAATTTGGTCAATGAGCTACCACGCTGTCAAAAAGGGCATAGTATCCACGCAAATGAACAGTTACGATGACTTGAAAACACCTAGCTATATTAGCTACTTTCCCTGTCACCACCAATACCATATAAAGGAACCAGTCCAGAAGCTACAATATAATGCACTTACAGGGTAATTAACTGGTACTGCTCAAAATATGAATAACAAACATCATACCCAGGGGATATTAGGAAATTAAAAAAAAACAGACTTAATTTCCACACTAAAAAAGTACAAGGTGGAATTAAGAAAATTAAACTAAAAATTGTGAAATCATTTTATTTCCACAGAAAAATCATGATAGAACGATGAGGCTGACATGCCTTTACATTAATGAGTACATAAAATATTAAATATTAACAATATATAAGTAGTTATGTCATGCAGAAGTAGGCCACAGAAAAAGAGTTTCATATTGACATTATCAGACTGCTGCACACACCACCAGCAACATATTAACAATCTACTAGAATTAAGTGAAATAAGGATGTCCACATCGAAGGTTAGTTTGAAAGAAAATAAATCAAACTGAACCTTAATAATGAAATTCACATTGCAGCACAGTACCTCGATGGCAGCCTTCCTTGCTTGTCGGGCTTTCTCTTCTCGAATCTTCTTCCGTTCCTCACTTTTTTTCCTTTGGCGCTCTTGATCACTTTCAACTAACATTTCTTGCTCTCTCTCCTGACACAAAAATGCACCATCAGGTAATTAGCACTTGTCTGTATTTAAATGGCCAGCTGAAATGGACCTTAACCCAACTGATGAGTGGATCTAATTCTACCCTACTGTGCATTAGTAGCATATAATTATTTACAAGAGTACTTATTGATAACAGCTTTAATAATATTTCATTGTTTATAATGCACTTCCTTAAAGTTTAATGATTCTGATGAAACATAACTCATAAAAGCAAACTCCTTGCTGAGTATACTAAATATTTTACAACAACTCAGTGCAGCATAGATATTAAAGGCAGAAATTGTTGGAGAAACAGAGAACGTCTAGCAGCATCTGTACAGATAGAAGCAATTAACTTATGACTTCTTCAGAATTTTTTCAGAGTTCGAAGAAAAGCTATATTGGACTCAAAACATGAACTGCTTCCACAGATGCTGCATGATCTAGTGAATTTTTCCAGCACTTTCATTTTATTTCAGATGCCTAGCAACCTCAGTATTTTGCTTTGATTGCATCACAGAATTAAACATTTGTACTGAATATACATTATAAGTACACTGCTTGCTGTTCTGTCATCGTTAAGTGTCCTGCCTTACCTAACAGATCATTCAACAGCGAAAGTAGGCAACCAGGCCTCAGCAAACACATTTCTGTAACTGTCAGCTTCATACTCTATATATATTGAACCATCTCACTGAAACTGATGATTCACCTTCAGGACTTCAACTTCATCTTTGCTGGGTGAAACTATGTATATGGGGAACTTAGCAGAGGGTTCATCTTTAGTGGATTAGATAATGTACACCACAAACTATTTCAGCTTGTGTAAAAGCGTTGAATGAGAGGACACAGCAGATACTTTTGCGTATGCGTGTATGTGTGTATGTGTGTGCATTTGTGTGTATGGCGGTGGTTTTTGGAGGGGGGTAGAGGAATTCAAACTAATCTGAAACTACAATAATCTATTATTCATTAAGTAAATATCACCTATTTATGGTACAAGATACCTAAGATGATTATGGAAGACAAGATTGTTGAATTCATGCACAAATTAAAGTTTTTATTTCAGAAAGTTGCAATCTGGGGGAGTAACTTGAGTTATGACATAAGCTAAGTGCAGTAGGTTTGAGGTTGAAGATGTCATTTTGGATCGATAGTGCCTAAAGCTTTCCACCATTGGGGATTTTCTTCACTACGCGTCTGAGTTTAATGTAGACTAATTCATAACGAAAGAGTTATTGACTAATGTAATAATCAATTATGGGTGTACCATGTGACTACCAGGACGTTAGAAAGAAAAGTAAATTAATCTGGATTTTTCTTTATCTCATAATTTACATATTCCTAGCTAGAAGCCTTGATGAGTTCAATGTGAATATTCAGTGTACAATATTTTATCTAGTCATATTTCTTTTGAAGTCACCTGTTTTTTAGTAGCAAGCAGTCGCTTTAGGGCAGCTTGACTTGCTTTGCGTCTCTGCGAATGACGTCTGTACCAGCGCTGAATGGTAATCACTGCATGGTTCACATGTTGTATGAATCTATCATTTAGATGCAGGGTCAAAGAGAGAAAAAGAAAGAAAAACAATATTTGAAAAATGGAAACATTATTCAATTGATAATTTGTCACTGAAAGAAAGACCTTTCTTCCTACTGACTTAACTAATGGAGAAGTTACACGCACTTAATTCATGATGCATCAGCTGAAAATGAAGAGCTTGATCTTAAGAAAACAGAAATAATTTGTCTACGTATGCTGTGAATGCATTACAAACAGAACACTGCGTGACATTAAGTAACAAGTCTTTTATTTTTCAGGACATGCTAAAATAAGGTAGGTAATTAAAATTATACATTACACAGGTAAACAAATCCAGCTCAAAAACTCAGTTGCTGTGGGTGAAATACTTGTGGATTACAAGGCAATTTTTAGACTGGATGATTTTGTCTGAATTCTCACTTCTTCTCCAATGAATGTTCAAAAGTTTCAGAAAATCTTCACTTCCTCAAACATCCTCCTGTACAGTAATTCTGAGATGGGACATAAAATCATGTGCTGTTCAGTGAGAGCTGTAAATCACAGCACACTGAGTAAGTCCAATGCTTAGAGATCAAAAACAACACACCTAGTGAGTGCCATGTAGAGGCCTTTCTGATCCAATAGCAGCATAAAGAGGCCGTCCAGGAAATAATTTAAACATTGGGTAAGATTGACCAGTTTTTAAACAGGTGATATTGAATGGGTCACCTACACTGCATTCTACCACAGACATCACTGGAAAGAAAGACTGGAACACATGTATAACATCCAGTCTGACATCAGCTTCTTTATACCAACATTAAAATTTTAGTCCCAGGATTTCCTGTATGGTTTTATTGCAAATAGTCTGATTAAAAATACTACCTGGTCAATATATGTTTAGATAATTAGTAGAAAAATATTACCACACAACCTCTCTCCAGCCGAGTTAACTTCACTTAAAGGATTGAGTGAAGTGATATTTATGATCAGCACACAAGTGCCAATTATTTTCAATGAAGAGCAACTTCAGCCTACACCGGACCTTTGCGAATTGCAGATTGAGTATGGACTCATCTAATTTCTAAGAGGTCTCTTACAGCTGAGGGAGACAACACATAATCGAAAAAAGCAGAAGAAATTTTATTCCATCATTCTCAATGACTCCAAACACAACTACAGTGAAATTACAGCATTGTATCCAATTTTGCAAGACCAAACACTCAAGTTTAGAATTTGCTTCAGGTTTTCACAGCAGTAAGCTCATGCACAAAGATTATTAGAAAGAAACCTAGAAGAACAGCGAGGAAGCACTAAAAATACTACTACATGTATTCTGCAAAATCGCACAGGTCAGCTAGTAGATGGACAACAATTTTTTTTCTGCATAAGACCATAAAGGAAAGCAACACACTCCTACATAAAAATCTATGCATACCCTAAATCGGGATGAGCGATATCTGGATTATCGTGCTGGAGCAGTTGAGTAAAATCCATTTTATCGTTAAGATTTAAGTATCGGATTCTAGGGGTGGCAGAAAAACATATTTAGAGACAATTTTTGATTCAGAGTTGTTTTGATGTTTAGGTAGGATATGTAATGCTGTTAACATGAGCATTAAGGTCATCATAATTTTAACATCAAATAATTTCCAATGTTTTACTGAAAAACTCAAAATAAATGCTTCAAACCTGTTTTCAAAGCAAATGCAACGACTTAGATACAAAATTTTACAAATATGCGCAAAAATATAAATAATTGATAGCTTGTGCTTGGCAGAAACTGTAACTGGTTGCAGTCAAACTGAAAAATCAATACGTAAAACAATCCAAAAATGCCAGACAATGCTAGGTATCCACAGATGCTTAGGAAAAAAGGGTTTTTAAAAGAAGTCCGGAAAGTGGGATGGGGATTACTTTGCTGTAAAACTGCTTCTTATGATGTTGAAGTCTCTGTCGAATTGGTGGATGGGTGCAGTTGAAATGGCCTAATCCTGGATAGACACATCCGACTGAAATTCAAATTGATGTTGATAGACGAGTTGAAACTTGCACCAGGCGTTTGGCAACCAGCTTGTTTTGCAAACCCACAGTCTCAAAAGTATACTAACTGAACCCTGTAACTGAGCTGCTTTCATCATTTCGAGGCTAATACCGCAGGATTCCAATAATGGCAATCAGTGTGTCTTATGGCATTTCACCTGCCTACCTGTGCCGCTCACCAAACAAAGATGGATTTAAATATTCTATAACCAGGCATACAAATGATATGTGCAGACCAACGCAAATGGACATTTTTAATCAACCATGCACTATAGTTTTCTCATATGAGATGAGACGGTGCCTTTAAGAGATGTGTTCTGTGCTGTTTCTCTTGCAGAAGTATGTTGTCACAGTAGTACTGAAATGCCTCCTTCAGACAGGCAGTTGGTAAACAGCTTTTGTATTCTTCCTGGAGTTTTTTGTTTAAAAAATGTGATGAAAGATTTGTGAGTGGGTGGGGTCAGGGCTCTCACAGACCCAGAAAAGCTTTTAGCTTTGCTTTCAGTTATTTAAAAGTTTCTGCTGGCTGCCAGAGACAGTGAAGCTTCCTCTTAAAAATCAAAAGGGCAGATTATTTCTTTCTTCTGGACTGGAGAGATACAGCATGTGAGAATCATAACGGTTTTGCTGAAATGTATTTTTTTGCCAAAGAGTGTGTTTGTGGGATGTTGTCAATATTGGAACAGTTGATAATTTGTGTTTAAATAACACACACAATATTGTTAGGTATTTCAATCGCGTAAAGTTGTGCCAATTCTCTTTTTTTTTGTATTTTAACTGTGTTGTAAGAATAAAGTGTGTTTTGATTAAAGCCGAGTGGGAGATTAATTGAATTGCATCTCGAGCACAGCACCTTACACCTGTCTTTAAATAAATATAAAAGTTGGGTCTAGGCTCTCTTCTCACAATATGTTAGCAGGAGGGGGTCTGGTCCATAATATGTAATATTGAAAACTTGCCCTCATTACTTTCTCACCAGCATAAAGTTGATTAGATATTAATTGGATGTATCAAATGAAAACTTATTTTATTGTAGGCATTTTGTAACTAATTTCAGCTGCTTCTGGTCAGTTTAACCCCATCAGGTTTCTAACACTTATGAACATAGAAGCTGCCAAAGATAAGGTTCAAATGCTGCGGTGACCCACTCATTGTCCTGTTACTATCAAGTACTATCCAGCAACAAACAGTACTTTGCTCTTTCCCAGATCAATAGCATGTCAATTTCAACAACCCCAATACCATTTACAGTAACCGTCCCAAGTGAGCAGACTTTGTCTCACATCGATCATTGCGTGGGCTAACTAGAAATTGGACAGTGGGGGAGCAGTAGCTTTTCAGTGGACAATTTTACAAGAATGTACCATACCACTTCATTGAGAAAAGTGAACCAGTTTTGACTGTGCAGCAAAGCCAGACATTGTAACCATGGCAAGTAGGAAGGTTGATTGAATAACCAAAGGAACATGACTGGTTCAGGAGCAGGAGGCTAGATGCACTGTAGTCTTGATGGTGGGACATTTTAAGCCAACCCTTCAAATCTGGAAATGCAGCATCTATTGCATATTTCTTTTAAGGAAGGAATAGTAAAACAAACTTCAATGCAAGATGTCAATCTTTACCTTGCAACGATTTTATAAAGGACTTTTAAGGCTTAATTCCAATCTATGGAATAATTTATTTATACGTTAACTTACAAGCTATTTAACTTGCTAACTTGATTCAAAGCTGAAACTTTTAGCTACAGAAGGAATTTTTCTATTCACACCAGGTAAACTGGTGCGTCAATCTGTATTGCATCCTACCTAACAATACACAAACCAACTCAAACTAGAAAATAAAAAGCAACTATTATGAAATATAATGATTTATACAATGTCAAGAATATACATTAAACATTTCCAAATTAAGTGGCTCAAGCTGTACATTTAATTAAGTGTTAAAACCAGCCACAGATGTTATGGTATGACTTAACTGTACCAAGCAGGATTCCATTTGAAATCGGCAATACGCTTCAGGCTTCAAATAAATATTCATTTTAAAAGAACTGTCACCTCAAGCGATGAAAACAAATAACTGATTGAAGTGTCAAGATTTCGTTCTCCAAGAGTGAGATACAATTTTTTGGGTAATACATCACTACTCCAATTATTGGAATACTATATCAACCTATCAGAAACATTGAACCACTGTGGCAGTTTCTTTGTTCGACATATTCGTCAACATCAGACATTATTACACAAACCTGCATTTTTTGGAGTTAAAATATTCATTTGGAAATTTTTTTATTTCCCAGAAAGTTGACAAAAGGTCCAAAAGTGCTTTTCAGCATCAGTTAGGGCTATATAGAACAAATTTGATTTGATTTGATTTATTACTGTCACATGTACAGAGGTACAACAAAAAGTGTAGTCTTATGTGCTTTACAAGCAGATCATACTATACAAGTGCATTAGGGTGACAGAACAGAATGCAGGATACAATGTTACAGCTGCTGAGAAAGTACAAAGATAGATTAACATTTAAGAAGTCCATTCAAAAGTCTGATAACAGTGGGAAAAAAGCTGTTTTTGGAATCTGTTCGAACACATTACAAACTTTTATATCTTCTGACCAACAGAAGAGGGTGTAAGAAAGTATAACCAGGGTGGGATGGGATCTTTGATTATGTTGGTTACTTTCCTGATGCAATGGGAAATATGGGTGAAGTCAATGGATGGGAGGCTGGTTTGTGTGATGGACTGGGCTGTGTTCACAACTCTCTGTAGTTTCTTGTAGTCTTGGGAAGAGTAGTTGCCATAGCATACTGTGCTGCATCCAGATAAAATGCTTTCTACAGTGCATCTATAAACATTTAAAAGACTCTTTATGGACATGCCCAATTTCTTTAGCCTCGTGAGGAAGTAGAGGTGTTGCTGTGCTTTGTTGACCATTGCTTCAATGTGGGTGAACCAGAACAGAACGTTGGTGATCGTCACTCCCTGGAACTTGACACTCTCAACCATCACCACCTCAGCACCATTGATGCAGACAGGAGAATGCCCTCCACCCCGCTTCCTGAAGTCAATGACAAACTCTTTCATTTTGCTGACGTTGATGGAGAGATTGTTGTCTTTACAACAAGCCGTTAAGCACTTTATTTTCTTCCAGTACTCTGCTTCGTTGTTGTTTGAGATCTAACCTACGACAGTCGGATATATGCACAGTACTGTACCACAGCCTTGAGTCATCTATTCTGTGGCTAAGTCAATTAGCTGGCATGTTACTAAATATAAAATGCAATCAATTAACAACTGTCTGCAGTGCCTCAAAGTGACTCTAAACAGCATCATCTCATCAAGAGAAAAGTTGAGATGTCTTATCAAGCTATTTGGGCTTTGCAGTAGTGATCAGTTTCAAGCTGCTCAGTTCATACATTCAACAATAATTTCTGCTCTTCGCACTCTAGGCTTGTTCCAACATCCTCCCACCTCCAAAAGATAATGAACATGCAGTAAACAAATCCATTTCTGACAGAGTACCTTCAATTTGCTGCACCTATGCTGACGGTGAGCATCCCAATGCTTGAGTAACAGATTCTGCCAAAGTGCTGTACATGAAGGTACCAATCGTTATTCTGGGCTGCTATTTTTGCCAAGTTGCTGCAGCTGGTGGTTCATGCCAACCCAAAGGAGGTGTTGCCAATTTTCTATGTTGTCACCTAGTGATTCTCAGATGTAATTATCAATGTTTAGGGTCTTCACGTTATTATGGAGAGGAGTTCAAACCCCTCTGATAATTAAACGAAAACACAAACCCCCAATCTGTTATGGCAGTACAGGTTCCCTTCTAATAATTAAACCTGAAACACCCAAAGAAGCTCACCTAACCTTTCTAATCTGTTAAAAAAAACGAGTGGTTAAATGAAAGAAAATCCCTGATAGTCACTTTATAAGTAACAAGTAACAATTTATTTATCTAACCCTAACAGTGAACAAATTAACAGAATTACTAACAAACCAAACAATTCCCCCTTAACTACTAACTATTCCCGAACTGAACTAAATTCTACTGGTATGTTGTTCCAATAAACACAAGTCCCACTTATATAAACCCAAGTAATAAGAAAATAAATTAAAACTTAGTCTCTCAAAGCCTACATGCCTTTCTTCTGCTGTTCTCAAGTCATAAACGTTTTTCTTCCGCTGATCCGGCTGTGAGGGTTGTTTCCTTTGTAAAGTCTTCTGTGAGGACTCTTAGCTAGAAGTGCCATGGTACCTTTTGTGGATAGACGGTGATTTCTTAGACAACTTAGTGATTTCTTGTGAGAACTGGATGCTTATTTCTCAGATGGCGATTCACTTTCACACAGATTTTCAAAATCCTCTCCTTATATACCTTGGATGTCATATCAGTTTTCTTACAGTAGCATTTGTCTGGGGCTGTCAAAACCATCAGATTTAAATTCAATTGGCTTTCAATCGTTAAGTGTTTGGTTTAAATTAATTGGCTGATTCCAGCTAGTTGCCAAAAATTCAAAGCAAGCCTAAGGTTTTCAATCACACAGCCAATTGATGCATGTTTCAATTTCAGAACTGGCTGTACGTCTTCAGCTACATACAGACACTTCTTTTCTGCATAAATCTCCAAGCTTAGAAAAGCATTTTACCTCTTAAAGGAACCACGCACTTTTCTCCCTTATCTTTTTTTTTTACAAACAAATTCTAGCTTCCTGCCTTCCAATTCACGATTACTCTACACAACTTCCCAGCAACATCATCCATCAGCATCCTTGTAACAAAGCTTTGAATATCCCGCTGGCCACGTGTCTCTGTGTACTTCACTATACAGAAAGTCCACGGGATGAACATGACCAAACCAAAGTAAATGCCTCAGTTTGACAACTGCAAAAATAACCTAGGAGCTCTATCTTTGAGTGGATTGTGCATTCATGACTTTGTCATACCAGGGTATACCATACAGCACTGAAGATTGTAAAGCTGGAAATTATTCAGCATTTTTTCCCCAGTAGCTATAAGTGGTCACAGCCACACAGCAAGGTTCTGGGAACACAGGCCACATAATCACTTAACAGTTTGATCCTAAGGGTCAACTTGATGTTATCCATGCACATTTTGAGTGTCAGCCATAGGTGCTAGCTCATTTCCCTATGTGCATATCAAGTTCCACACCAAAGGACAGGTGGTCTATCAGCATGGACTCAAGGTAGAAGAATTTGCTCACCACTTCTAAAGGCATGTTATTCATTGTGATTGGGGCAGAGGTATGATATCCTAGCTGATGGCCAGAACTTCCTTAACGTTTATAGTCAGGGAGAACAAGCTACAGGCATGAGACAACAATCGATGAATTAGGGGAGGCAAATCTGGTTTCTTATTAAGTGGCAATGTCAACAAAAAGCTTGTGGAGGTCACAGTCAATTAAGACTGTCCAGAAAATACTTCCCATGGAGTGTGGGTTATTGTACGTTGCAGGGCAGACAGTCCTCACGGTATAACTTCCAAGCAGGAAAGTTACCTTCCTTTCTTTGCTGCACAACCTACACCCTATAGAATTCTAGGGTTGACTTTGTCAGCAGTTACAGGTGCAACACAGATATCTGTAGTCTGTTGCAAAAACATTAAGTGCCTTAAAGCAGCCTATGGGAAAGATACTGATTCCCTTGCCCCTTGCCCCACAAATTTCAGATATAGCCCTGAGTGAATGAAGCAACTACTACGATCCTAAGAAAGACAGATTACTTAAAAGCACAGTGAAATATAACAACAACTTGAAAAGATATAATTGCCTTTTGTAAACCAGGGATTTGCTAAGAGGGCACAATTAGATGCCGCAAGGAAAGGATATCCAATTGCTAACTAACCCTTACCCACACAGTGCAGAACCTTGTTATAGCTGTTGGGTGGTCTTACCCAATCATAAAATCCCTGCAGTGTGGAAGCGGGCTATTCGGCCCATCGAGTCTACACTAACCTTATCCCTGTAACCCTAAATTTTCCATGGCTTATGCACCTAGCCTACCCATCCCCGGACACTATGGGCATTTTAGCATGGCCAAACCATCTAACTTGCACATCTTTAGACTGTGGGAGGAAACTAGAGCACGGGAGGAAATCCATGCAGACATGGAGGGAATGTGCAAACTCCACACAGATAGTGGCTTGAGGGTGGAATCGAACACAGGTCCCTGGCGCTGTGAGGCAGCAGTGCTAACCACTGAGCAGCCATGCCACTCTTACCTGCCAGCTGGAGAACCAGCAAGAGACCCATACTGCCTTGTCTTGGGAAGGTCGCTCATGTTACATACAAATCAGGTGGTGGCAAGACTATCAGTAGGTTTTCCCCTGGGATCAAGACCCTGGAGTGGGTCTTGCCTAGCAAGAGCTGCCAGTGAATCAAAGGCCAGCAATTCTTGTACTCAGCAGTGCCATTTAGGTTTCCAAGGCTGCTGCCAAGAGGGCAACCCTTCCTCACTCTTGGAGTTCCATCTCACAAGATGGGCAATATGTGAGAAGGGAGGTTCAGAGGGAGTTGAAAGCAAAGCAGGGGTTGGCTCTTAGTGGGCTCCTGCCTTCCCAATGTTCGGGCATTGATTATCTTTGATTCCTTCCCAAAACAACCTACCCAGCTTTATGTCAAAGTGGTCTCTACCATTTCATCTGTTAGGCACACTGCATGGTGACAGACCTCACCCCTTCCCTAGACCTTGGTTAATCCCAGCTGCAGTGTGTCAAAGTCGTTGAGTGAGTCTCTACTGGCAAGGCAGCAGGGTCAAACATAAGCTTCTCTGCTCAGGGGCAGGAAAGCTATGGGGTTCAGGTCACCATTATCTTGCCTAATTAAATATCCTCTGAACTCCAACTCAACACCAGCGAGATCAGAAGATTTTGCCCATGGTTCCAATATCTCTTCTCATGAATTTGCACATATCTCAAGTAGGCAGGTCTTGATCTCCCAAGTCAGCATTTATTAACAAATGATTCCTGCAAGCTAACCTAAACACAGTAAAACATATTACGAAGACAACCACTGAGTTTGACAGTTAAATTTCAAGGTCTGTGGGGTCAAATATTCAATACTCCTGTCATGATGTAGCTAGAAAATACAATGTAGATTCTGATCTAGTTCTACGCATCACAAATTATAACTGCTTCTTAGCCACATTTACCAAATGTTAAAACTGACCTTTCTGCTTCCTCCTCAGTCACTTCCTTCTTCTTCTTCAACAAGGTTGTGTTATTTCTTGTTACAACATTATTACTGGATAGGTTTTTCTGTGATTTCTTAAAGGAGCTCTGATCCAAGCTATTTTCCTCATTAGTTGGCATCTTAACCATGTTGCTGTCAAAACATACAAACATTTCAACAAATGTGCCTTAGAATCCACATATACAAAAAAGATGAACATTTCACATCTTAATTCATGAGAAAGCATTAAGAGTAACTCATGCTGCAGTGCTAGCTCATATGCAATGGTAACCTAAAACCTCATTCAAATGCCTGTTCTTGAACAGTGGGTATGTATGAAAAATTAGTTTTAACAAAGTTAATCTTCATAAAGGACAGTAAAATCAAGTTCCAAACAATACCACGATGTTAATGCTCAATAAGCTCATTAAAAACAAAACTTTTGCTATCTATGAACAGACATTCAGTAGGAAAACAGAAAAGTGAAGTAAAAAGCTGATTCCCTGGGTGGTAAGACAGCATGGAAATGGCAGGATTTATCATCTTCAATCCTTGCCTTTGTCTCATTGCAGGAGAAAATATGGAAGTGAAGGTCAAGACAGCTCACCCCCTGCCTGCAACCCTCACCCCATGCACATTCAAGCCAAGGAAGGTGAGTCTGTAACTGGCCAGGACTCTCTCAGCATGTCAGGGCACCCTAGGCAGAAACACCCCCACAGATATCCACCCAAAACACCAAGACCAGCAGACTTCCTCCGCGCCAGCCGCAGACCATAGGACTCTACATCAACATAGTGGAATTAAAAGGAAAAAGAAAGCCTGAGTGCAAAAAGGTGTCCAGGGAGACATCTCAATGTAAATAGAATTTCACATTTATAAATATATTTTCACTTTACATCATAAACTACAAGAATGAAGCTGCAGATTCTACCCTTCCTTTCACCACAGAGTGTCAGAAACACTGCCTGAAAGACTGCTATTCGATCACTCATGAACATAGTAGCATAGGCCACTGTCATGTTTGAATGTGGGAGCATCAAATGCTGTGAAACCTTCTAATAATTTGTAACATTAACTTTCATTGCACAACAGGAAAGAGAAGAACAAACTGATAAGTTGTGTTTGCATTCAGGAATAAACAGGAGCTCCTTGCCTTTCCAACATCAGCATATTTACAGTCAATGAATGATGACTTCACCCAAATTAAGGACAACTGCCTACAATGGAACTAAATCCTCTCCAGCTTGTTGCGCTGTTGCACTTTATCATGATGATGATGTTCTCCTAATCAACATCCTTATTTTTGTTTGCAGAAGAATATTACCATTCTCACAGCTCCTCACTGTCCATCACTTCCGTTTTTGTCTAATCCCAGCTTTCGGCAGCACAACATGCAAAACGTTACACAGTCGACTCTGTCTGTAGCATACTTCAAGGAACTCCCAAATCTCTACAAGAATAGGAGCCTCATCTTGACGAGACCTATAGAACGTCCTCAATACCCCTGGTGGAACATGTTGTACTGTTGATTTTATTTTCCTTTAGAGGTTGGGCCTACATCTATGTGATACATCTTGAAAATTGGTATTCAATTCTTTTAGGAATTTCTTCTGTTGCCACTAGCCTTTGAAGGATTGGTACAATGCCATTGACCCACCAAAGCCAAAAGCTGTACCCTTCCCATTGATAAAATCCAACATACCATACTGAGTTCCAAAGAGTAACTGCAGACTGAAATGTGATATAGAATCTGCTGATATTCTTGGTTGTATGTGTTAATAAAATCAGATCACACAGAAAAGATATCTTACTTTGCGTAAGGCTGCAAACATTATCATTTCATAATTAAGTGAGAATAATGAGATTTTAAATTGATATTTGAATAGTTTCCACTATTCTAGAAGAATCTAGGACTTACTTCAGAGATGTGGCTTTCTGGTTGGAACTTTTTGGGGTCAAAAGTTTATCAATAGTTGAGTAGTTGTTGTGCAGCATTGTGGTGACAGAATTCCCAACGGTTCCCTTGTTACTCCTGTAAAACAAGCAAATTAAAAATTATTCATCCCACAAAGACAAAATATCTTGCAATGAAGTTAGTTTGTTAAGCCAAGCATTGGCAGACACTATCCAAGTTAAGCACAAACTACTTTAGCTTTGTTTAGCAAATCCTGACAGCTTTCAACATGTTGCATTACAGGACAGATGCAATGACATTGGTCACCATTACTGAGACTGGATTTATTAATTCCAGATTTTATTAACTGAATTTAAAATCCACCAGTCACCACCTCTTTCTAAAGCAAGATACAGTTGAATTGCTTTGGGCTTCCATGCTCAAATATAAATAAACCTCATTGCAATAGAGTTGATTAAAAAAGATTTATAACCATGATTTTTATCTATTGATTCACAGGGTGCAGGCATATTTCAAAATCCATGAAGCATCTTACACACTGTAAAGTATGTATTTATATTATAAAGGGCAGCACAGTGGTTAGCACTGCTGCCTCACAGCGCCAGGGACCCTCGGACGGCTGTCTGTGTGGAGTTTGCACATTCTCCCCGTGTCTGCATGGGTTTCCTCTAGGTGCTCCGGTTTCCTCCCACAGTCCAAAGATGTGCAGGTTAGGTGGATTGGCCATACTAAAATCACCCATAGTGTTCAGGGAGGTGTAGATCAGGTGGGTTATAGGGGGATGGGTCTGGGTGGCATGCTCTGAGGTTCAGTGTGGACTTGTTGGGCCAAAAGGCCTGTTTCCACACTGTAGGGATTCTATGAAAACTTCTATATCCATAAAGCGAATCACAATAACCATTCCATGATAACCACTTCACAAACTGCACAGGTATGTGGAATTTATGTTGTTTAGTATACAATTTAATTTATGTGGAAAGTCTAGAACAGCTAAGATTATTCTCCTTGCAGCAGAGACGGTCAAGAGGATATCTGATGGCTACATTGATGATAATGAGAGGTTTTAATGGGATGAAGTTGGGAGGAAGAGTTTCCAGAGGCAGGACGATTGGTAGCCAGAATGTACAGTTTAACATAATTCACCCGGGTTCAATTCCACCCTCGGACGACTGTCTGTGTGGAGTTTGCACATTCTTCCTGTGTCTGCGTGGGATTCCTCCCACAGTCCAAAGGTGTACAGGTTAGGCGGATTGGCCATGCTAAATTGCCCGCAGTACTCAGGGATGTGTAGCTTAGGTGGGTTATAAGGGGATGGATCTGGGTGGGATGCTCCAAGGGTAGGTGTGGACTTGTTGGGCCGAAGGGCCTGTTTTCACACTGTAGGGATTCTATGATTATGGGATTCTATGATCATAATCTGGAGGTGAGGAATGAGAAGAACTTTTACTATCGATTATGGAATTATGATTATATACTGATCTGGAATTCACTGCCTGATAAAGTGCTGGAGATAGAATCCTAACTAACAATAGGCAACTGGATATATAGTTGAAAGAGTGACATTTGCAGAGTACCTGAAAGAGCTAGGAAGTTTAACTAATTGGATAGAGCTGCACAGACATGATGGGCCAAATAGCTTCCATCTGTGCTGAATGTTTCTACAGTTAGTATTTAAATCTTCCACAGTTATCACTTTCTCATCCAATTTATCATGCATAAGCTAGTGTTGGTAAGGTGATTTTTGATGCTTTACACTCTTATTATTGACCAAAAATTATTCGTGACATCGGAAACCATTTGGTGGGCAAAACTGCAAGACAACCATCACCATAAACAGCTCTGCAAAATAAAAGTCAACAAAAGAATTAAACATCTTAGCACATCCCTCCACTCTTTTAGCTCACCATCATCCTACCTAATTAAACACCCTTCCCATCTCCAACTCTGCCACAGAAAAAAAATTCCACTCTCAGATTTACCTTTCCCAAATTATCTGTCAAATAATCACAAATATTGTCCCACCCTTTCAGTGACAAAACTACCATGCATGATCAACATAAGATAGAAATTACAACATGGAAGCAGCTACTCCACACAAACTATCATCCTAATTGCACATGTCTGCCCTGTTCATTTCTATTCACTACGGTCTACTTAGTGCTGTTCTTAACTGGCACATTGGAGTATTTTGCAGCAGGGATAACCGGATAGTGATTAAAAGCAGAAGTGCAAACTGACTCCAATTAAGTACACTTTGATCTGAAAGCCAATCTAGAGCTGCTGATCTCCAGGAAAGCACTCTGGTGGTGAGTTTCGTTTGTGATAGAATCTGTACTGTTGCAATTCTACAACTTTCTTTTTTGAAATTACAGTGCTGTAAGAAGAACAAGTAGATCACCATGTTCTAAGTGAGCAAGCTAGCAGACTGCCTGTACAGCCAGATTCCACTTTCTCAGACAGAACATAGATGATGACAAAAGCAAGAGCTTCACCATCAAGCCAGTCAATCTGGCTAATATAAAAGACAGCAATTAGCCCTTTGTGATGAATGACAGTACCCCAAATCTATTCATAAATTAATTTATACTTTTCAGGACAATAATTAACATATTAATCACAGGTGATTAAATCATGGGACCAACTCAGGATGACAGTCTTTTCATGTTGAAAACAAAAAATAGAATAAACAAATGACACAGTAAGATACATTGTTCCTGACATAGAGGCATTACGGCACATAATGAGACTCAGCCCAGTGAATCCGTGCTAGCCCTTCATAAAGCAAACCAAAAAGTTCCCACTCTATTGCCATTGCACTGTGAGTTTATTTTCCTCAAGTGCCCAGCCAACTTCATTTTGAAATCATTCACCAGCACCATTTCCATGACCCTCACAGGCAGCAAGTTTTGGGGCATTTCCACTTGTTGCATAGAAAAAAACAACCTCACATGGTCCCTTCATCGTTTCCCCAAAGCCCAGAATCTGCGTCCCCTATTCCGTTTGTCTCAGATTACGGGCACAGCTTTCCTTTCTATTTTCTCTAAGGTTATCATAACCTGTATCCTCTATCAATTCACCTCTCACTCTCCTTTGTTCCAAGAAAAACACCCTAGCATCAACAACATAATCTAGTTGCTAAAGTCCCTCATCCAGGGAACCAGTCCAAAAAAAAATCCTCCCCTGCACATAATCAAGAATCCTCATCTCCTCTTTCAAGTGTGGTTGTATCCAGAACTGGACACTGATAGTGTTGGAAGTACACAGAACGATGTGCAAAATGGCAAAATCCACTGTTTACTAATAAAAAAACAATAAAGGACCATTATACTGTTTGAACATTTCCACAATGTTCAAAGATCAAAAGATACTTACAATTATATCTGGGAGTCAAACAGTTTTTTATTCTTATATTCTGATTACAGTTTTCTAGACATCCACTAACCGATTGTTGGCTGTAAAGTTGGCTGCTGGTGACACAGTTGTGGTCTCCCTCCTTTTCGTCATGACTGGCATATCTGTTGTACTGGTGCTGCGACCACTAACAGGAACTGGGAAAGCTCTGGGCTCCTCATCCTGCCATTTGGGAAGAAACAAAGGCCAGAGTGGAGAAACAACCGGTTATTCTACAAAAAGGTATAAATTCATCCACTGTTTCTGAAATGAATTGCTTGCATTTGAAACAGAAAAAACTCTCTCTTCTACATTGTACTGAAGTCAGGGTCATAAGATAGCCATTTTACCTTCCTGGCTCTCATCAATAACAAATGACTTGTCATTAAGTGGTTAAGTCATGCGTACAGTGGAATGATCTTTTACAAGAAGTTGCTTTTTGTTCAACCGCCTGGCTTAGTACAGCATATGTGACATCACTAGGTTTAAAACTAACTTTATCTTTTCACTGTAATTTACTCAAATAATTTCCACACATCAGTTAGGGGAGATCCAACTGCGCAAGATTACAGAAATACTAGATTCTTCTTTGAAATATAAGACATTCAGGTCATGAAAGTGAGGATTAGTACTCTTTTTAGGTCTCCAACTGGGTCACCAGTCAATCCAGCATTTAGACAGAGCTCAGGGGCAATACTAAAGTATAAAATGATCAAGTCTGGATGAATATGTACAACCAGGGCATAGGAAATGATGACAAGACTGAACTAGGTAACTATAGTCCCATTAGTTAGACATCAGTAAGAGGAAAAACGTTTGTGAAAATGATAAGGAATTTTGTCAGTGATTGCCTGGACAGAGAGGCATACTTGTGACAAACAATGGTTTCACAAAAAAAAAATCATGTCTTGCAAGCCTAACTGTAGTTTTTAAAAAGTTATTGCTATCACAATAATACAGAAAAGGATTATTGATCTGTGAATTTCTCTGGTCAATTTAGTACCTGTATTTTCATGGACGGAAAAAGGTTCAAAAAGGACCTGGAAGCACTTACTTTAAAATATCCACAGGCATCACCTAACCCACAGTTTGGCCAGGTTTCATGAAACCACATTGGATTAAACTAATGCCAATCTGAGAAGAAATTAACATTTTACCCAAGGACAATGAAACCAGTCAACATCTCAATCGGAGACATAAAAGACATTCTCATCTCCTATTCTAATTTACATCATTGAGAACCTTCCTATATCAAAGATATTGCCTATAATTTTCAAGTCTAGACACAACAGACAAAATATGCAAACAATCTGCAATTTGAAGAGGCTCGATTTTTGACAGGACGGAAGATAGTTTTGAGACTGCAGAAGTAAATACAGGCTAGAGAGTCTGTCTCTGTCACTCAAGAAGAGAGCTGACTGAAAAGAGACATCAGAAAACTGACAACTTCAAAGATAATTGCAATGGTTGCCACTGTTGATGGTCCAAGACTCTGAAGGATTCATACTGAACACAAAACATTAACTCTGTTTTTGTCTCCACAAATACTGCCAGACCTGCTGACTTTCTTCAGCTGTGTGTGTGTGTGTACACGTGTGTGATGTGTGACTCTCTGTTTGCTGTGTTGCTGTGTGCATGTGTGTGTGTGGTGTGAATGTGCGCATCTGTCCGTGAGTCTAGATAGGCATCCAGGAGCTTTTATGGATAAGTTGCAATCAGAGGTTTCTCTACAAGATTAAAACCTCTGGGAGCTACGGTGATATTATGTGCAACTGGCTCCCTGATGTAAGCGAACAGTAGTGTTCTGTAAGTACTCAGGATGGGTCCTTTACTCTTTGCTATTTTAATACATTATCCGAACAAAGACATTGGGGGAAAAAATCTGCAAGCTTTCAGACAGCACAATTCATAAACATGTTAGAGAGTGTGAATGATGCGACGTGAATTCTCTTGATTGACTGATTGTCACGTGTATCAAAATACAGCGAAAAGCTTTGTTTACAAGCATAATAAACAATGGATGTACATACCAAAAGACTTCGACAGAGGCGTACAGGTTACATTACACAGTGTGCGCACTAAGCGAGATCAACATTAGCAAGATCAGCATTATTTGAGACTAGAGAGTCCATTCATTAGCCGGGAAGAAGCTGTTCCTGAACCTGCGCGTGGGTGTGTTCAGGCTTCTGTATCTTCTGCCTGACAGAAGAGTTTGTAGGAGATCATTACCAGGGTGTGATTTTGTCTTTGATGATGTTGGGCAGCCTTTCCGCGGCAGCGAGCCATGTAAGTGGAGTCCGTGGATGGAAGGTTGGCTTCATTCACACACTCTTCAAGGAAAGCATTAAAGTGGATGAAGAAAGAAAGAAATCCATACTTCCAGGTACACAGATTCTCAAATCACACATGAACAACACTGTGAAAGCAATAAGGGTATGGGGAGGCATTAAAAGGACAACTACGTCAATAAGAAATGTTGTCCTCATAGAACAAAGCTTTCAAAACTTGTCCCTGGTAGGCCTTACTTTAATGCATTAGATGGTTTGTGATCCTGGACTGAAATCTGGAGGGCAGGAAAGTTGTTCACCCCCTCCTTCCTCCTTCCTTCTTCCCCCCTCACCAACCAACTTCAACCCTCATTGCCACTTGGTGGGGGAAGAGAGAGGGCAGTTGATTAAAAGGCTGAGTTTCTCCAGCAAGATTAATACCTACATATATTTGGAGATTAGTCCCACTAGGCCACACCAAACAACAAAAACAAAACTAGGATTTAAAGACATCTTGAGGCTATTCAAAGCCAGTCCAAGGTTCACAGCACCCTGCTACCTCAGAGCTTATGACTTCAACATCTATTACCTTGTGATCGTAACCAACTGATTGTGAAGCTCTGTTGAAAACAATCAGGCCTTAACTGCAATATGGTGCCTGGTTTTGGCAGGTAATACCAAAGTTTTGGAAAGGAGGAAGAAAGGCCCATTAGACTTAATCCCAGAATAAATCATTTCAGTTATCAAGATTGGTGAAAAGAATTGGAATTCTGCATTTTAGATAAGCCTACATTTCAGGGTGATATGATTGAGGCATACAAGATGATGAAATGAACAGATTGTGCTTCAGCTGACAATTTGCTACAATCAAATAGGTTAGGAATAACCAAAGACCAGAACTTCTAATTTTGTCACGCCAGATTTGGTTTGATTTATTTATTTGATTTATTTTTTGTCATGTGTATCTTGTTACAAAATACAGTGAACAGTGTTGTATAGCATTGCCATTCTCTGGAGCCATCTTAAAGCACAGAAAAATAACCAAAACATAGAATATAAAGGCAAAAAAAATGAAGAAATAAAGTTTCCCACTTTGCAGTCCTTCTTGTTAAATGCTCCATCATGGGCAATAGACCTGGTGGCCAGGTATGAATCCTCTTCGCTGTGCCGCTGCCGCTGGAATGAAAGTCACCACTCTTCAGCGCCATCTCACCTCCACAGATGTCCTTGCTGGATCTCACCATTGCAGACGCCACTGATGGTGCCGTTTACCGAACCAGATCAAACTTGACTCCCCTGTCGCCATGAGTCCGCTTTGGGCCCACCTCACCGATGCAGCTGCTGCTGGTGCCACCAGGTGTCGTACTGGGCCCAAACTCACCTCCACCACCTCCTCCACGAATCTTCGCTGGAAGCAGATGCTGCCAGGAACCCAAACTTGACTCCACAGGAACAGCCGGCACTAGAACTGCCTCAACAAGGCAGAAGTTGCTGGGAACCCAGACTTGCTTCTGGTGCTGTCACCACAAGTCTGCACTGCTGGACCTACTTGAATCCATGCTCCCAGGCCCACTTGCCACCGATGCTATAGGCGTGACCCAGCTCTTCACCAAGATGCAAGTTAAAAAAAAATTGAAGGAAAAAGAATGAGAGAACAGAGAAAAAAAAGCAACAAAAAGAAAAGCAGATGAGCCCCAGGCTCAGAAGCCCTCCTCCACCGCCATCTTACTGGAAAGGTTAAAGTGTTAGTTAACAGAAAATTGAGATTCTCTACAGGTCTTGGACTAGTTTTCATCTCATGCAATGGCTGTCATCTCACACAATCTACAATTGAGTGGGACATAGTAAATGGTCCAAAGCGTTTTGACCCATTTACCAAGACTCCTATATTCCCTATTAACTCAGGACAGCATGACTAAGTTGTAGCATGACACTCAAGCAAATTAGCTACTGAGGAATTGCCAGAATAATTAATCTTCAAAGGCTCGCAGAAACACACTGAGATAGAGTTTAATGGCAGAGCTACCTCAACTTCCCATTATAAATGCAATTAACACATGACCACTCAGCATGACAGCTTAAGGGGACATTTTTCAAGCTTTAACTACTAGAATGTTAGCTTACAGACAGCATTGTAGAGCACAACTACTGCACTCAGGTTCCATGAAAAAATGTTTCGACAGCAAGACAATTCTATTCTGCCTGGTGTATTTTAGTATTGCATAAGATCTGGTGAGACTTATAATTCCTGGCAGTTAATAATAAATTACTTACATCTCATGGATTAATCACTTCAAATAAAAAAATTGTATCATTCCAAAATATATGTACAACTAGATGGAGAATTTCCATCGGAATAGATAAACAGGAGTAGGCCATTCAGCCTCTTGAGTTGTTCCACCATTCAATGAGATCATGGCTGATATTTGGCCCAACTCTACTTACCTGCCTTTGGCCCATATCTCTTAACATCTTAACAAAAAATTATCTATTGCAGATTTAAAATTAATAACTGATTTAGCAGCCACTGCATCTCAGGAAACCTTTTTATTATGGAATGTAATGTTTTCCTGGATAATTTGCATCCTAAAATATAAACAGTGTCAAATGAAGAAGCAGTTGGATATTGAATGCGAAGCAATGCCGAATTAGTTGAAAACCGTGCACATGAAACATTGTACGAACAGCTCAAGAAAAAGACCAGAGATACCAAGTTAAAGGGCAAGAGCTGGGCTTCAAGTCCAGGGCATTTTGTTAATGTAGTTCAGCTGGTCCTTTTTGGAAAGACATTTTTTGAGATTGTACAATTGAAATTAAAGTTTTTGAAGGTGATTATTGTGTACAGTTTTGGCCTTCCTGTTTAAGGAAGGATGTAAATGCAGTTCAGAGGAGGTTTACTAGATTGATACCTGGAATGAATGGGTTTTCTTATGAGGATAAGTTAAGATCAGCTGGACATGGTTTCACTGCAATTTGCAAGAGTGAGGGGTGATTTAGATGAAATGTACAAGATCCTGAATGGTCTTGACAATGGTCTGGACATGGAAAGGTTGTTTCCTCTTATGGGTCAGACAGAACTAGAGGGCACTGTTTTACAATACAGGGTCACCCTTTCATGATCCAGATGAGTATTTTTTTCTCTCTCTGAAGGTTGTGCAACTTTGGAACTCTTTGGAAACAAGGTCATTGAACATTTTTGAGAGAGAGGTAGATAGTTTCTTGTTAGGCAAAAGAACAAATAGTTACTGGGAATGGATGGGAATGAAGAATTCAAAACATAAATAGATTGTACTCAATGGCACAGCAGGCTCGAGGGTTCTAACTTTGTATATTTGTACAACTGATTACAGCGCAAAGTTCAGACATCAGCATATTCAAGTGAGGAGGTAATTAGTAAAAGATTTGATGGGGGAATAGGAGTGATATACTGAATAAAATCTAAAAAGGGCAGGCTTTCAAAATAATCTTTGTATAAGGCTGTTTCAGTTTATTACTATACCATTTTAACATTACTTTCTTTATTCCAGCTTGAATAGCTGATCAAATAACTTAGAAAGCTTCATTACATTGAGGAGATCAAAGGGATAAAATACTATTTGAGCCTCCAGAGAAGTGAGGGGCATTTAGCAGTTGGAACTGTACTCCAGGAAATGATCAATACTTCTGGAAAGTGCAGATGGAAATTGACAAATAAAACTGGGCAGGATTCCGAAGAACGAATGGCAAAATCTTGTTGAAGCATCAAGGGTCACGCTACTGGCTACAGTATTAATTTAGTGACTTAGTTAATTTATAATTACCAGAACATTCCAAGTGGTCTTCTTCTCTGGGGATGTCTTGCTCAAACTGGACAGCTTTTTCCTCCCATCCGCAGAACTATCAAACAAAGCCAGGAAATCGTCCGCTCTCTCTTCACTAATCAGCAGACAGGATAGGGTCACAATTAAGGGACTTACTTTGTTCAGACACAGTGCCATAATGAACATCAAATAGCATTAATCAATTTTTTCAATTTTGTGCAACCACTTCCACATATTCACTTTTCCCAAAGTCTTAATTCTCGTAATTCAGCACTGCCTATGTGACATGACGATAAATGTCTCATTAATTCCAAACTGTGCTCTCTTGCAGGTCTTTAAGTGTGTTCTGTTACTGCATATTTGAAATCTGACTCTTTGAAAGTCACTGCATCACGCCCTTAGCCCTAACTAGGCAAGAATTAAGAAAAAAATACAGATTTATTGATTATATAAATCAAGTACTCATGCGGATATGTAACCAAGTTGGACTTCCCTCCAAGTAGTTATTGGCCTGAATTTTACTACATCTGGTGGCTATGAGATTGCTGTTTAAATCACATAATGATTAAAAATCAAGGAAGGAGTGGGGAATGGACTAGTGCTCAATCAAATGGATCAAGTTAGGCATTTACTATCTGGGCACCATTTACTGATCAGAAATGCTACTGAAGTATATATAGACACACTGCCACCTACTGTTACCAACGACAAGCACTTAGGTTGTAAGCTACTTTCATTACAATAGGCAGATGCACATGTTTTCAGATCTCTCTGATATAAAAATTTGGTAATTTCAACGTCAGTGAATTCAGTGGAAAAGCAATTTTTTTTTTAGAATTGTTGATTTTCTTGTAAACTGGCTCCTCAAATCCTTTTCACGAGGACAAAAGTGGCAAGCGAGTTAAATTTCATTACTTACTATTTGCAATCAAAAGAAAAAAAGTTCGCCATCAGTTCAAATAAGATGGTTTTCTAAAAATAAATACCAAGAACAGAGATGTCTACATTTGAAGCAAACTGCAAAAGACTAATGGCATCGAATTTTAAAATGGGTACAAAGGCAGGATTGTTAGAAAAGAATTAAATAGCAACTAATTGTCATTTGTATTTATTAAAATACAGTGTGATGTGTATAAGTCACTACAATTCAGCTCTATTTTAATTGCAGAAATTATAAAAATAAATAATTGGTACAAAGTTAGGACAAAGTTCATCTTTTTCCCCTCCACGGCTCCTGGGTTTCTAAAGTGGCTATGGGTCGTCACCACTGAAGTCATCCATGGCCACCAAAACAAGGATTTCCAGACCTTCCAGCGCTGCCACCGCTGAAGCCAACACCGAAGCCACTGCATCACTGCCATAGCAAGGAGGGACAAACCAGACCCACCAAGTTGCTGACATTGACACAGTGACCACCTCAGTCACTGCCCAAAGCCACCACAACGCTGACATAGTCACGAGGAATGAACCGGAACTACCATGCCTCCACTGCTATAGCAACCGCTGAAACCACTGCCAGGAGAAACAGACCAAACCCACTGATGATGAAGCCTTCAATAAAGCTGCAGCCACTATGGCCACGAGAAATGGACATCCGGATCCACCAGACTGCCACCTCCACAGCAGGCCCTCACAGCCTCCTTCCTCCATTGCAGCAGCAGAAAAGAAGAACTTCGATTCAGAAAAGAAATGAAAAAGTGAACAAACAAAAACAAAAAAAAAGAACAAAGAAGAAGTGGCCCGTCAGATGAGCGGCAGCATGCAGACTTAGAGCCTGAACACTTCAGATACACAACAAGCATTTGTCATCAGGTGGCACGCTAGTTTGCCAGCACAGTTCCATCTCAAGGCTTTTTTTGATTAAGTAGGGTAAATGCTTACTAAAAACAATGCTCTGAAACTAACTGGGCACCACGTGGCAGTTGAAGTCCAGTCCATTCGTGGAGGCATCCTTCCGGCCTGTGATGCCCTCCAGAGGGGCGCCATCTCCGGAATAGCAATCAAGCAAATTTGGCCTTTTTACTTTTCCACTTCTTAGAGGATACCAGTACATTCACACATCCTCTGTTTAGAGTCACAGAGTCACACGGTAGGGAAACAGAACCTTTGGTCCAACCAGTCCATGGCAACCATAATCCCAAACTAAACTCGTCCCACCTGCCTGTGCTTGGCCCATATCCTTCCACACATTTCTTATTCATGTGCTTATCCAAATGTCTTTTAAATGTTGTAACTGTACCCACATCCACCCTTTCCTCTGGAAGTTCATTCCACGCATGAATCACTGTCTGTTTAAAAACGTTACTCCTGATGTCTTTTGCAAATCTTTCCACTCTCACTTTAAAAATATGCCCCTTGGTCTTGAAATCCCCAACCTTAGAGAAAAGATACCTGGCATTCATGTTATCTGTACCCCTCATGATTTTATAGACCTCTATAAGGTCAGCCCTTAACTTCCTATGCTCCAGTGAGAAAAGTCCCAGCCTATCCAGCCTATCCTTATAACTCAAACCCTCTAATCCCAGCAACATCCTGGTAAATCTTTTCTGAACCCTCGCCAATATCTTACCTATAACAGTTGCGTATCCCAACTCCTAAACTCAAAGATCTGAGCAATGAAGGCAAGCGTGCTAAATGCCTTCTTAACCACCCTGTCTACATATGACGCAAACTTCAACGAATTAAATATATGAACCCCGAGGTGTCTTTGTTCTACAGCACTACACAAGGCCCTACTTCTAATTGTATAAGTCCTGCTTTGTTTGTTTGACCAAAATGCAATATCTCACATTTATCCAAATTAAACTCCATCTGCCACCTCTCAGCCCACTGACCGAATTGATCAAGTTCTTTTTGTAATCTTAGATCTTTCTCCGATACGGCATGGACGAGGTGGAACGAAGGGTCTGTTTATGTGCTATACATCTCTATGACTCTATGTGTCAGCAGCTCTCACCTTTGATAATGTGGCGAGTGACCCATGTCATCTCCTTTGGATCAATCAGGCCACTAGTTGACGTTCCACAGGATCAGTTTTTCAGGAACAGGTTATTCTGTCTACAGAGAGCTGCCGGCATCTTCTGTTCATCGGCACGACTGGAGAGGCCCATGATCAATGAGTGACCCAGGTCAGAGGTGATGGCAGTAGGTGTTTGGCAAGATTGGTGGTTGCAATGAAATGGGGTAAGGTATTCGGCAGCAAAGGCAGGGATGTGGCTCTCAATGGGCACTCACCCTTTCACGATGTCATGTCCCTCAATCAGCACCGAGCAAATGATGTTTGATTAACTTAGTTTAGATTTTATCAAGTAACAGACAGGGCTGATGAGGATAATACTGTCAATGTCGTGTACATGGAGTGTACATGCTTGACAAAAGGTGCCACACAGCAAGCTCATCAGCAAAGTTAAAGCCAATTCATTGTCAAGTTACAGGAATAGACTGGTGACATTGTGGCTATTTTCCTCAGAAAAGACTGAGAGATTTAATGTAAGCGTTCCAAATCATGAGGGATCTGGACAGAGGAGATAGGGAGAAATTGATTATATTGGTGGAAAGATCAAGACCAGAGGACACTGATTTAAATTAAATGGCAAAAGAAGCAATGGAGACACATGATATTTTATTTTCTCAGCATAATGTATGGTTAGGTCTGGAATACACCCAAGTGTACGGAGGCAGATTCAACCATGGCACTTCAAAAGAAAATTAGATAATTATTTAAAAAGTAGAACATTTGTACTGCTATAAAAAAAACCAAGCTCTCTTATAGACAGCCAATAGGAACTTGACAGGCCGTACGGTTTCTTCTGTGCTGCATCCATTCCAAGATTCAGTGATTCTAAGTTCAGTCTGAACAAATAAAACCCTTAATATTGGGGCTGACAGGGGCCCGGCTGAAAAAACTCCACGAAGGTCCGTATCTGATCACGAAGTCACCCTTTACTTTACATGTGCATAGTACAAGACACTGATCCAGCTAGCTCAGAGCCAGCTCCTCGAGTAAACAGAACCCTGGATACTCCTATTTATACCTTCAGCCAGGACTCCCTGGTTGGACTAAGTTAATGGCCCCAATCAGGGATTGCATATTCTATGAGATCCACCTGACAGACCTCATTCCAATAAGGCCCACAGGCCCTGATCTATCAGCTTAGGAGTATCACTGCACCTTTGGTGACTCTGCTATGAACAGCAATGGGGAAAATGTAAGAAAAGGGCATGGTGCAAATGCTTCTTCCAGAAACTCATGGAAGGCAGAGAAATTATATTGGGGCAATGAATGCTCACTAAATAATCAAAATGTTGCCCAGTGTTTTGACATAATTATTGGTGAATGGATTTGCAAGATTTCCTTCATGTTTCCAGAGTAGATTAAAAACAGCCTAAACACAGAATATGTTACAGTTTTCAGTGATGTGAATCAATGACATTACCTTAATGAGGCACTGGCCTGCTGGCTGACTTGTGTTGTACTGTTTGACCTTTGTAAATTGTTGATGGCACGAGGACCACTGCCATTGATATTTCCAAGCCCAGCATCAACCTAGAGAGAGGCAAACATGTCTTTTGCTGTTATAAATTTTCATTTTCTCAGTTTCTCTTGCACTTATGCTTTCACACAAATCCAACAACTTTTCCTACAAATTTTTACCCATTTCTGTAAACAATTCTATGTACTACAGCACATTTGTGACATTCTCAAAGTTTGCATTTTGCATTGTGCAATTTGTGTTATTGTGCTGGAAATGGCAAAGAAGAAGTTCACAGCAACACAAACAACACGCAACATCAATCAGGGGCAATAGCACAACTGCACTCAACCCTTCCTCACTAATTGGTTTATGGAACCTACCAGGCATGAGAATATTCAGCTTGATGAATAGGCAGAAATAGTCACTTGTGATACTTTAATGCACCAATAAATCAAGGGTCAGCTGGTTAAGTGTAACATCTGGAACATGGAGGTAAAAAGAACAGAAATATCCCAGACACAATCCCTGATGTCACATATTAGCTAATCACAGCTTGGCCAACACTGCGGAGCTGGGGTCGGGCAAGGAACTGTTAAAACTAGAACCAAATTTGACGTAGTATTCCTTGTGTGAAGTTTGCAGTGGTACGGAAAGAAAATTATCCAAGATTTATGCTTCTGATTGCTATCCAATAACTCACTGGTTAGTACATTTGTGATTGTCAAGTGAGAGTAATAGTGGAATTAGCAGTGATTAAGCTAAGGTTAAACTGGCCACAAGGTGTAGTATCCTTACATCTAGACCAGATGGTCTGGGTTCAAGTCCCACATGTACCAGAATGTGTCATAACATGTCTAATGTCCAACAAAATAACTAAATTGCCCACGAAGTGACAAATTTGGGTCTCATACCAGAAGTCTGCTGGCACAAGAAATGCGCAACTCACCATGAATGATCACATTCATGAAAAAAAGAAATTTTTTCAAAAATCTGCTTGGTTCTGAAAACAAGACCCTAAGACATAAAAAATGAGAAGTAGGCCATTTAGCTATCAATGGGATCATGGCTGATTTGATAATCCTCAATGCCACTTTACTACCTTTTCCCCATAACCCTGAATTCCCTTACCATTAAAAAAAATGGCTTTGAATATACTTAATGACCTAGCATCGATGGTCCTCTGTAGTAAAGAATTCCACAGGTCAACTACGCTATGAGAGAAGAAATTCCTTTTCAACACTATCCTAACTAGGCGACCCCTTTTCTCTGAGATCATGCCCTCTGGTCTGAGGCTCATCCACAAGGGGAAACAACCTTAAAATTACCCTATTAAGTGCTGTCCCCTAAGAATCTTATGCTTCAATTAAATTCTCACCTTAGTCTTCGAAACATCATTGAGTTAGTAAACCTAAGCTTCTAAACTCCTAAAAGTTCCATAAAGTTACATCACAGATTCCATCTGGATTATTTACCAAAGTGTTCCTTTTGGCCTTGTTCTCAGAGATGACAGAGATGGACCGTGCTAGCTGCTTGGCAGGTGAAGCACTGCTGGGGCGCTTAGTCATGGACAACTGAGAGCCAGTCAAGCTAAGATCAAATCCATCACTGAGGAAAGAAGAACTGCTTCGTGACGTATTCATTGTGAATGCACGTTAAAAAGAAACCTGAAATGAAATTGCAAAACTATATGTAAACATTTGCCTTTGAATCTTAGTTGATCAACACTAAAATAATTTGGATTTCTTTGCGGCTTTCAGAATAATCACATGCAATCTTGAGCCCTGTTCTAGCATGGAAATGTAAGGAATATTTTGTTTGTTGAAACAGTCAAAGCATTTGCTCGTGTCCCAAATGAAGATTTCGTTAAAGCTTCTACCATTGTGCATAATAGCAGGTTTAATAACACTAGTTGAATTCAGTTAGCAACACAGCTAAGCACTGTATCCAGGGCCCTCTTGTGATGCAGTGGTAGTTTCCCTACCCTTGGAACAAGAGGCCTGGGTTCAAGTCCCACCTGCTCCAGAGGCATGTATTAACATCTCTGAACAGGGCAATGAGGAAAAATAGGTTAAGTTATAAAAAATTTTAAAAATACAAACATTCCCTTAAAAAAAAGGGAAAAAAAGAAACAAACATTTCCATCTTATCTCTCCTTCATCTTTGGTGTTATTGCATATCCTTTAACAGACTTTGCATGTAAATTAATCGATTGGATCATGTGTGATTTAGTGGTGGTAGTTAATAGATGAAAAATATCATGGGTGATTTGATGGTGGGGAAAAAAAGCCACTCAGTTTTTTGTGAAAATATTGCTGGATGTAAAAGAAAAAACAACAAACATTCCTCGTGCGATGTGTCACATTACTCGATTACACTTTCAAGTAATTTTTGTACAAATCAGTTTTTTTTTAAAAAAGCACTGTATCCAGTGTCCTCTTGTGGCAGTGGTGGTGTCCCTATCCCTGGACCAGGAGGATTGGGTTCAAGTTCCACCTGCTCTGAAGGTGCGTAATAACATCTCTGAACAGGTTGATTAAAAAAATAAGTTAAACTAAAAGAAGCACTGTATCTAGAGTGCTCACGGGCTAGGGGAGGCGATGGCCTAGTTAGTGGTATTATCGCTGGACTGTTAATCCAGAGATCCAGATAATGTCTGGGGACCTGGGTTTGAATCCTGCCATGGCAGATGGTGGAATTTGAACTCAATAAATATCTGGAATTAAGAATCTAATGATGACCATGAATCCATTATCGATTGTCAGGAAAAACCCATCTGGTTCACCAATGTCCTTTAGGGAAGGAAACTGCCATCCTTACCTGGTCTGGCCTACATGTGACTCCAGACCCACAGCAACATGGTTGACTTTGAACTGCCCTCTGGGCAATTAGGGATGGACAATAAATGCAGACAAGCTAGCAACACCCTCATCCCGTGAATGAATAAAGAAAAAAAAATGACAATTTGGCTCACGTGGTCATATTCTTGATTCAAAAAGTTAAAAGTTTTGAGTGTGGAAAGCCCATTCCAAGAATTAACTGCCTGGTATTCTCATACTGTGATGAGGAAGTGCTGCACTGTCAGGAGTGCTCTCTTTCAGATGAAATAAAAGTAAAGATGAAATAAATAAAAGTAATATCAGCCTGTTCCAATGGACATTACATTGCCCATGCCAATATTAAGACAAAAATATTGAGATTTCACCTGGTGTCCTAGGCAAATGTTTCACCCAAAACTAACAAAATAATCACTAATTTCATTCAGGTTTATGGTATCTTGTTGCACACAAATTGTTACCACATTTGTTAGATCACAACCACTTTGAAAATGACATTAGTTTATTCTACGTGACATCAAATGATAAAGTACTAATCAAATTATATGCTGGTGGTAATAATGGACCATTGAGTTTTAACATGTATCATTTGACTTTTATACCTAAAACCTATCACGGACAAACATGAAATTTAAAAGATAGATATTCACAGACCTAAAATGGCTACAGTGATTAATTCACATTTACAAAAATTTCACATGCTGGGAGATGAAAGGCTTGCTACCAGTTAGCCAGTTTGGAAAAATGATGGAG